CTACTCACCCCCATGCCCAGTCCTGGGGCCTCGGAAGCTTCTTCTGCGGTTCCCACCCTTGACCTCTGAGGAACTTGGAAATCTCCTGCCCTTTGTTTGACCTCTGCCACCCCCCTGGTTCTTCTTCTCAGATGCGAACTTCTCCAATGGGCCCATTCTCTCCAATTTCTGCTGCATGGGGCATTGCCCTCAGCACTGGCTCTTTCCCGCCAGCATTTCAATAGCTCAGGTGCGTCTTGTCTCCCTGCACACTTCTGGTGTGGGCGGCCAGCTGCAGAGTCGCTGCCACCGGCCTTTGTCCCTGTAGATCTAGTTCTCTTGTGTCCCTTGCTGGAAGCCATAATAATGGGACGGTGCCCTATCACCCTTGCCATCCTGATAATTATCAACCACACGCCCCTTCACTCTCCAAAGCACCTTGTTTTGGAGGACAAGTTAGATGCTCAGTTTCACCCTTACTCCCCTGCCTGACCGTCACAGAAACCCAAGAGTCACAGCAACCCTCCCTCCGCCACTATCCCCGTTCCTCCACAGTCACCATGTATGCATGCTCCTCCCCTGCCCCTTCTTACCCCGGATGAGAGAATCTGCCCCATCCTTCCAGGGCTGCTCTAACCAGCCTTACTCTGGGTGTCAGGAGCCCTGTGTCCCGCCTCCACCAATCATTTTGTGACCACAGGAGCCCCGGTTTTTATGCTCTGTGTGTAAAGAGAAGGATGGGAGGCGGGCTAGTTAGCTCTGAGGTCTCTTTGAGCACGGGGAGTCTGAGATGCCACCACCTGTGTCCCGACTTCTGTCCCTGCTCTAGGCCCGTGAGGGCAAGAAGGTGGCCCCAGGAGGCAGCAACACAAATGCTGCGAGCCCAGGGTGGTGTGGGGCTATGTCCGCTTTCTGGGACATAAAAAGTCACCTGCTTTCTGGGAAGGAGAAAGGAGCCGAGTCTGCCTGGAAACCTAAGGGACAGCAGGACTCCTTGTTCCTTTTCTCTAATGCAATGCACATTCCCCACTTAAAGGCAATTTCTTCACTTCAAAAGGATTCCAGCTGGTGAAATTCAAGGTGAAGAATGAGCCTCAGTCAAGAAGCTTCTCAGGGTCCTTTCAGTTTGCATTGTCTTCAGAGGGATGCATTTTAAGACGTTTGCCTCTTAATATTTGTCAAAGCACCCGGAGAAAAAGCTTCTTTGTATTTCGACACCTCTCAGCTCTCAGGGCTGTTGGCACAGGAACCATCCACATTTCCCTGCACAACTTTGCATTTTGGGAAACCCGCTGGACTCATCTCCTGGCTTTCCCCTCCCCAGCCCTCAGCCCCCACCCACCTTGGGTGGAGGAGAGACTAGGGCTGGCTTAGGGTCCCCCAGGCTCACCTGGACACCCAGCGGCTTAAAAGGCAAACCGTGGAACTCACACATCTCATGTTCACACTCCAGGAGGTGTCCTTCCACCTGCTATTCATTCATTCTCTACTCACTCACCTGGTCATGGGGTCTGCAATGCTGGTAAGGGGCTGTGGCGGTTGGGGGGGGTGTCTTACTTTCCTAGAGCTTATACACTGGCCAAGGCTCTGGGAGATAGAAATAAGCAACCACAATACAAGCCAGAGGAAGTAAACCCTAAATCTGGTGGGTAGGGGATATTTAAAAAGCTCAGAGAAAGAAGAGACCAGCCAGGGATGAGGAGAGGGCTAAGAGGGAGGCAGTCAGGGAAGGCTTCTCAGAAGAAGAGGCATTTTGGTGCAGGCAGGGTGTCCCAAAATGCAGGGTCCAGATATGGGCAGTGGCCTGAGCAAAGGTGTGCAGGCAGGAAGACCTCTGGTAGGCACGGAAGCACTGTCCCAGGCCCACTGCACCCCTCCTTCCAGGGCCTCGGGGCTTGCTTGGAGATGGTGGGGGGCTCCCAAGGCATGCCCCACCAGCACCTGCTGCTTTGGTAGCATTGCTTTAATCACCTTTGAAACAAGGCACTTTCCTCACATAGCCAATTCTTACCTGCTTGCCCTTTCTTACCAGGCCCTGGGCCCAGAGGAAATGCTTTTGATCCTCTTCTCTGTCACTGAGGGCTCCCCCTGCCTGCACTTTTGAGGGACCTTATTCCCAGGATAGCATCCGCTTTTCCAGTTGCTCTTTCTCTGGAGGTGTTTGCTCCCTCTACCCCTTCAGGGAAGCTCTACCCATCTTCTCATTTCCCATTGTCCCCGGCCTGTCTCCCCCTCTTCATCACTACCCTCTGTAGCAACCACTGCTTTCTGTCCCAGGAAAGCTTCATTCAGCAAGCCCTCCCCAACGGTACCAGCACCCTGATGTCTCCCCTGAGAGCCATTGCCAGTGGTCTGGTGGTCAAGCCTTTGGAGTTGGGCAGACCTGGCTCTGCCACTTTCCAGTTCTGCACTTGCTCTGATTAATTCCTTCTACAGGAACTTCTCTTGTTTTTCTGACCCGATAACTTTTCCCTCTTCTGATAACTAGCACGTTGATTCTCCTTTGGAGGAACCATCCTTTTCTGCTCTCAGCCTTTGTAGATTTAATGGGGCTACCCAGGATCATTAGTTCAAGGATAGGCATGTGATCTAAGCAGGACAAATCCTGGGATTTTTAATGGTTGAAAAGCCTCAAATCTATTCCCGCTGGGATTGATAAACTAGTAACACAAATCTGAAACTGATGGGGTTGTCTTTGCCACCACAAGGAAAGAGTCTATTTACACATAAAACCAGCTTAGAAAAAAGTAGAGAAAAAGGGAAAAATAGATTTCTGGTGATGTTGTTTGGGCACCTGGATCCAACCATGCCTGAAGCCATCCCTGGAGTTTTCAGTTTGTGACCCAACAATTTCTTCCCTCTTTGGCATAAGCCAGTTGGAGCTGGCTTTTGTCACTTGCTAGTAACAGTCTCAACTAAAGAAATACTTCAATTGCAGACTTGATGAAAATTTTAAATGAAATGACACATGAATAATATCCAGCATAAAGTGGGTACCACTCAATTGTTTTTTTTTTTTTTTCGGGAACTCTAACTGAATCTGCCTTGTCAAGCATCAGTTAAATTTCCAAAAAATGTCAGGTTCTATAGTAGTAGAATATTACTTTTTCTTCCTCTGTTTCCATCACTTTGACCAATTTTTTCTTTGTGAAATCTCTACCCTCCTTGGCTTTAACACAGCTCTGTGTCCCTCATAAGTCTCCGGGTTTTCTCCCCCATCCGCCTCTGGACTGAGACAGGGTGGGAAATTTCATGACCTGGTGGGGGTGACGTCTTCTCTGCATTCCATGCCCACATCCCAGGACAGTCCATGTGGACCAAGCTGAATCAAAAGTAGACTTCCCAAGCTTGCTTCAAACCCAGTACACCAGGTACTCAGAAAAGTCTACACTGCCATCTAGTGGACACCTGCTATAATATCATGCAGCGTTTGAGAATCCCTCCAGGGACAGTCGCTGGGCTACGAAAGTATTTTGGTTCCACCTCATTACTCCTTCAGTGGCAGAGCCAGGGACAAGTGCATTAATGGTGAAGTCGAGCATCTTGTCGCAGGAGCAGCATTATACTCTCCCTAAAGGACTGGGCTCCTGCCCTGCTTCTGCAGCCCTCCATGTCCTGTTCCAAGTGTTAGAATCTTACTTAGTGGCCTATGTCTCCTCGGCTTCTCCCACATGTCCACCGCTGTGACCCAGGCCACAGGTCTCCAGGGAGGAGGGCTGACAGGTGCATGTGTGCATGTGCGTGTGCATGCATGGTCATGTGCGTGAGGCTTGGCAGGGTTGAGGGAGAGGAGACCCAGAAGGCCTCCTCATTGCTTGCTTAGCCTTGCAGAGGAAAGGATGCTTGTCACGGTGGCAAAAACAATAGCCAGTCAAAGCTTCATGTTCCCAATCCCATAAATTGTGGGACACATCGCAGTCTATTGGTTCTGTGATAGTGAAAACAGTTCTGGAAATAGAGAAAAATCTACCCTCTACCTCGGAGGAACCTGCGATCCCCACCCCAGCACTTGCTATTTTGTTGTGTTTGTCCTGGCCGCCATCAGGCCTGATCAACAGCAGCACTGAGAGTCCCCAGGCCGGACAGACAGAGAGAAAGAGCCGGCAGGACCGGAAGGCTGTGCACGTGGTGTGCATGCGGTCATGTCCTGACCGTGGCCCTTCCGTCTCCACCCATCTGTGGCCTGGTTCCTGGACACATCGCGGTCATTGTACGTAGGTTGCCCCGGGCACCTCCTAGTAAAACACGGCAGACGAAGCGAGAGCCGCCCTCCACCGCCGACACTCTGGGGGCTCAGTGTGGCCCAGGGGTCAAGGAAGAAAGGAACAGCAACGAGAACACTGGAGCAGCACCTCCAGGACCTGGCCTGGCCGCTGGAGGGAGCAGCCACAGTCCCACTTGCTACTCGCATGGCCCTTCCCCAGGCTACCACATCCCCAGACTAAGAGAAGCTTCCAGAACAAGGTAGTACTAGTCATTTCCCAGTAGAAAGAATACTTCTTCCAATTCCTAAAAATGCTTCAATCTTCTATTTCAGACAAGCGTGAGCAAACTCTTAGGTGGGTTTCATATTGCAATGATGGAGTCAAGATGCCCTTCTCTGCTTGCTTAGCCTACGTGAGAAGCACTGCCCATGACAAACTAGCTCCTCTGCATTCAGAAGATCATTCGGAAAGCCCAGCCACCTCGCACCTTGAAAAGGACTCCCTCTCTCCTCCTTTTCTCTGCCGACTCCAAAGCACACACCAGCTGGTCTCCACATACACTGAGGAGCCAGGCTCCTCCGCGAGCAGGCAAAGGCCCCAGCAGAGCAGCCCCAGAGTCCTGCTAAAGCCCCCAGTCTGCAGCGCCCCCCCCCACCTCCTCCAAGGCCATGGGGCTGCTCTCAGGGGGGCACATTGCCTGTGGCATCCGTGGTCTACCCAACCCAGATGGCTCTGCACAAGGCTTCAAGTCACCCAGATGAGCACGCTCAGAGAGAAACCAAGCTCTCCTCCTCCACGCCAGGCTTGCTCACTTACCTCCAAGGCCCCAGGGAACTTGACTATGGGCTCAGCCCAGTGGGTGATCTTTTGTCTGTAGTTGTTGCAGTCAGGAACAAACATGCAGCCAATGTTCCCCAGCTCTGGGTAGAAAACTTCAAGGCCCCTATGGAGAGAGGGAGATGGTCAGCCCATGTCAGTTCTAGGGGAGCCTGGAGGGCTCACTTGCTTCAGTCTAGCACCATTGAGAATGTGGAATCAAGTGGGATTGAATCCTAGGCCTGCTACAAACTAGTTGTGGTCACTTAACTAGTGTGATCAGTGTGGTTTAAGAGTTACTTGACCTCTTGGTGCCTCAGTTTGTTCACCTGTAAAATGGGGACACTGAGAGTACCTACTGACAGCGTTGGCGTGAGGAGTAAAGTAGGCTATCAATGTTTACAACAGAGCCAGCGTGTCATCAGTGGTCAGAAGGTGTCAACTGTCATCTGTATTTACTTCTCAGAAAGAACGTACATCCTTAGGCAAACCTGGTCAGTGTCTTTAAAGTAGGATTGGGTTTATAAGAACAAAATTTACACATTGCTTTCCAGGAATGTTCTCTTTACATAAAGAAAGGTTTAGCAAGTGAGCACAGCCTTCTTCACGGGTACAGGCAGTCGTCAACCCTAAACAATCCAGATCCTCTCCATATCTGCAATCCTCACTGGTAGTTCCATAAGCCACATCTTTGGGTCAAGTCTTGCCCAATAACCTAGGCTCTCGACATACCATTCCCTGCACTTTCAAAATGCAAATGTCTCCTAGGAGGTAAACTATCTGGTCACTAAGACAGTAGTTATGAATCCATTTGTCTGCTTTTTCCCTGCAAAGAGCTGAACAGCACAAATGCTCTGAGAATCCGGTTCACTGGGAGGGCTGTTCCCAAAACTCCACCAGGGTTAGCCTTAAGGGCTCACCTGTAACCAAAACAGGGACGTAAACCAGGCTGTCAAATAGATATTTAAAAAAAACAAAATCTTTGTGCCAACTGTTTTTTTTTTTTTTTTAATTTGCTCTTCCTCTCTGTCCCACTGTCATTTTTTTATCACCTAGACCCAGGGTCTCTGTAGGGTGCATTTGGTTAAGATGATTCACTGACAGAGAAGGGGTGGGTGCTCAGCCTTCGCCAAAAAGCCCAGCGTGGCTGAGCAGCTCCACGGCCTGCCAGTGGTCACCCAGAGCTGGCCACGATTCCCTTGCTGCGGGTGATGCCGGGAGGAGACCCAGTGGGGAGATAATGAGGGAAGACCTCTTGGGGGGGTGCTCCCAAGTTCTACATCTGGGAGGAAGGTAAGGACAGCCTCCTGGTGGGGTGTCCCACCTTCCCCTTCCACCCCACCCTTCCAGTGGCTCCTGAGGCCCCACCTTGAGGGCTGGCAGCTGGAGCGTGCGACACCCGCAGATGCAGGACAGCTTCTGTGGGCCAGAACCCCCGGTGAGCCTCGGGCCAGTTAGCTCAACTTCCGGTTTGCTCAGCTCACTTGTGTCCTATACCTCTTGGTGAGGTTATAGTAATTCCTTTTGGATGCCATGGTTTTGATCACTTTTGAACAAGTTTTAGGGATGGGTTTTCATTTTTCCTCACAGCAACATTTTAATTTTTTTTTTTTTTTTTGAGAGGGAGAGAGAGTGCACCCGTGTGGCAGGAGGGGGAGAAGGAGAGGGAGAGAGAGACTCCTAAGCAGGTTCCACACTCAGCCTGGAGCCTGATGTGGGGCTCCATCTCCCAACCCTGAGACCATGACCTGCGCAGAAACCAAGAGTCGGACGCTTCACTGACTGAGCCACCCAGGCGCCCCAACAGCAACATTTTAAAGACCGTTTGGTTTGTTTCTGCCATGACTCCCTGTCACTGCAGCTAGCAAGGTCCAAGGTCGATAGAGGGGACCCTCCACTGGCAGAGAGATGAAGAGTCAGCACACAGCCCAGAACTGGGAAGGGCCAAGGGGCAGGGAGAAGGGAAACAGAGGACCAGAGGGGCCTTCCCCAGGGGATGAATGGGTCTCCTCTTTTTATCCCAGTGGAACTGCTACAAATGTTTAAAAAGTTTAGCAAAGGCAGCACGTTGATGTTCCGTGAGTGGGCCTCAAGCCACAGAGTGTACCCTGGAAAGGTAGGCACCAGGAGAACAGGGATTAGGTCCGTGCCCCCAGCCCTGGTCACACCATGGGTCACTGCCAGCCCAGTGTCTGAAAACCACCTGTTGCCCCACACGCAGGCCGGGCCACGGGGGCATGTGCGGGCCTGTCCTGTTCAGCAGTTTTACCAAAGGCTTGGATCAGGACACAGAAGGCAAATCTATTTGATTTGTGAGAGGCACAAAGTTGATTAACAGCAATGATCAAGTGGGTCATTGATTAAAACAAATGATCCAATCAGCCTAAAAAAAGATCTGACAAGCCTGAGATGAATGAATTGAAAATTGAATTTAGTAGGAACACACTTTAGAACCTGTGCCCTCTTCCTGCAGTGCCCTTCCTGCTCATGGGGTACCTCACGTGGGGCACGTTCTGTCTCCACCCCCAGAGTTGGGGACTTCTGGGCCAACTTGACAAGGACCTGGGAGTGCGGAGGGGAGCGGCAGGGGGCTCTGGTCCCAGCGTGGTCACTATCTCACATTGCATATGGGGCCGGGGGAAAGGGAATGGATCAGGTGCATCATATACATGTTATTTCATTCTGTACAACAATACCTCAAAGCAGCTTTTGCTATTATTCCCCTCTCCCAAGTGGGTAAACGGAGGCCCAAAGAAAGTGAAGCAACCAGCCCAGGGTCTCCACGTTGGTGAACTGAGGGGACAGGGATGTGGGTGTGGCCGACAGTGTCCGCGATGCCCCCCCCCCCCCCGCCCCGTGAGCCCCGCCTCCTGATCCTCCCACCTGAGTGTGACCCCTCCCCGTGAGTGGGGGCTGGACTTAGTGACTCCCTGGGAAGGAGAAGGGAGGGCAGCAGCGGTGGGACGTCGCTTCCAAGATTATGTTGTAAGAAACCTGTGGCTCCTCTCGCACGCTCTCCCCCTCAGAGCCTGGCTCTGGGGGAAGCATCTGCTGTGTGGCGAACAGCCCCACAGAGAGGCCACGTGGCACGCAGGGGCCCAGGGCCTGTCAACAGCCACACGGGCAAGCTGGGGAGCCGAGCACCCCACCCCGGCCAGTTCACCCTTCACATGAGGCCGCAGCTTTAGGGCAGCCTCCTGAGGGGCTCTGAGCCCGAGCTGCCCGGCGGAACCCCACCCCAGAAAACGGGACACAACAAAGGTGAGCGGCCGCTCTGTTTGGGGAGAACTACCCCAGCGGTCTGACTTCCCCTGCGCCCGCCGCTCGGCCTCCCCGGGGAGTCGCTGCGCTTCTCGGGGCTTCTGTCTGACGGGGTGGTCGCTGAAGTCCCTTTAGCACTGTTAGAGGCGGATCAGAGGGAAACGGCACCCTGGCTGTCCCTGCGGAAGGGCTCAGGATTCCGTGGGCCTGAAAGCCAGGATGACAGGAAGGTCCGTGGAGGTGAGGCCGGCTTCACAGACGTCTGAGGGGGCTCGGTGGGCACCCCAGCCTCTCCTGCACGGTTCTTGGGGGTCAACGCGCGGGGCGCCAGCCTTGGAAAAGAGCAATGGGTCTGTCTGCAACCAGAAGTGGGGCCCACAAGCGAGGCCCCCGGGAAAGAAGGGAGGATGGAGGAGGACGCCCAGCGTAGAAGAGCTGCGGGTGAAGGCAGAGCATGACATCCCAACATCTGAAGGACCATCAGGGGGCAGAGCAACAACTCCTTCGGTGCAGTGTCGCAGTGTCGATGCAGCGTCGGGGGCAAAACTAGGAGGGCGGTGAATTGGAGAGAGGCGGCCCCTGCCTTCAGACGGGACGCCCCCTCTCAAGGGCGGAGCTTCCGGCACAGGCCAGAGGGCTTTGGGGGGGGCAGCTCCCAGGCTCCAGCCGAGGCAGCGGGAGCGGGTGGTTGAGTGCACTCACCCAAAGCGTGCGGGTTAGATGACTATGGTTCTTTCCCGGAGACTGAACCTACGTTCTTTTTTTTTAAGAGAGAGAGAGAGAGAGAGCACACGTGGGTTGGGGCGGAGGGGCAGAGGGAGGGAGAGAGAGAGAGAATCTTAAGCAGGCTCCATGCCTAGCACAGAGCCCAAGGTGGGGCTTGACCTCACGACCCTGAGATCATGACCCGAGCTGAAATCAAGAGTCCTATGCTTAACTGAGCCACCCAGGCGCCCGTGAACCTAGATTCTGATCTCTGTGTTTTTGTCAGTCTACTCAGGCTTGTCTCAGGCGTAGGTAAGGTATTACTCTGGAAGAGCTTTTCTCGTAACAGTGTGTTCCTACTGCTTGTCCCTATACATAAAATTCCTCTTTTCTAGATTCATACCCTCAGGTATTAAGGCCTAACTTTACAAATTCCCTGTTAGACTCTAAATAGCAGCTTCTCTGGGGGCTGTCTTAGCAAGGTGAGAAGCCTGAGCTGAGCAGGGTTCTTGGGGAGGGGGGTCTAGCAAAGGAGGTACTGACCACTCCTCGGGGGTCTGGCACATCCATAATGTGTTCTCAGTTAGTGATGACCTTTTACCAATGAAAATCTTCAGTAGCAATAAAGGCAAACTTCCCCTTTTGCTGTGATGGTTTATAATGGGACATTTCCTACCAGGCAACCTTAGTGTGGTAAGTTCGTGTTTCTCAAACTGGGGGTCTGCTGGTGTGTTCTAGGCAGTCCTGAGAATGGCTCCTGCAAAGGACTGACTTGCAGTTGCCCCTCCCCCAATTCATAGGCCGAACCCCAGCCCCCAGTGTGAGGGCATCAGGAAGTGGGGCCTCCAGGGGGTGCCTTCCACTCGGTGAAGGCATAGCGAGAGGACAGCCATCTATGAATCAGGAAGCAGGTTCTCACCAGCCATGGAATCTGCTGGCACCTCCAGAAGGATGAGAAGTAAATTTCTGCTGTTTTTAAGGCGCCCTGCGCTGGCATTTTGTTAGAGCTGCCCGAAGGGGACTAAGATAGCTCCCCTTTCCTCGAGTTTAAGAAGCTCCGAGCCCCTGGACGAAGGTCAGCGGCTGGAGGCGAGCGGGGAAAGAGTGTTAAGTGTAGAGTCAGGCAAGGGGGGCTGAACCCCAGCTCTGCCCCTTGTAAGGTGTGCGAGCACTGTGGACAGGTTATTTAATCATCGGCAATACGAAGATGCTCGATACACACATCGGAGCTCCCTCTGTGCCCCAGGGCTCTCAGGCCACCAGGACACCAGCGCGTGTGTGGAGGTCTGCAGGGCAGAGCCTAGGGCAGCTGGGGCCCAGGCCGGTTACCCCCAGTGACCGTACACATTATGATCACTTTCTAAGTGTTCCACAGTGAACGTGGGAAGCACACAGGCACTCTGGAATGGGGCCTTATCGTGATCCGGCCCAGCTGACCTCCCCAGCTCCTGAGAACTTGGTCTTCTGCCTACCCGAGTAAAATGGGTCCACCCCCGGGAAGGTTCCACTCCGCAGAGCACCTAGAGGACTGGAGCCCACATGTGAGAGGCAGCCACGTTCCCGCCTTCTCCCACACAAAACTTCACCCACAATTGTTTCACCAGAGTTTTAAAAAAGTACTGATAAGAGCAGAATGTGTATCATCTTTTTTGGGAGGGAAGAGGGGTTTCAGCTACCTCACTTTTTGAGGGAAAACATTACTTATCTTTCTAAAAGTCACATTTGTAAGGATTCAAATGTACACAAGGAGACCGAGTAAGAAAGGAGAGTTCTTCCCTACTCTCTCACTTCTGATGGCTTCAGTGGGATGCCAGCCTCCTTGGCCACTAAACTGGCAGAGAGAGTTGGCAGCAAAGTGGCCGGGCCACCCTCAGGATGAGCCACGAGTCCAGGACAATCAGGACTGGCTTTTCCAATGGGTGGTCAGGGAGGAGAGAGCGGACGCAGGCGGGGAGAAGTTCATGCCCTCAGAAGGGAAAAAGCCCACCCCGACACCTGGCCTCTTCCCTAGACAACACCCAGAGGCCACACTCCCTAAAAGGCCCACCTGTCCCACACTCCCGGGGCCTCGTCCCTGGAAAGCAAACAACCGCCCTCACACAAGGAGCACCCAATCCCACGCCCTCTGTCAACTGCCACCAATCTTTAAAATGCCACTTTGCTGGGGGGAGGGGAGCAGTCCAGGCTGTGGGGAGGGATGGTCCCTCAGGGTCCCAGCAGGGAGGGTGAGGCCAGCCTCTCAGGTCCGGAGGCCCGGGGTACGAGGGGGAGCTGACCAGACCCGTATACCCTCTGGGGCTGGGAGCCTGCCGTCTGGAAGGCAGGAGGCTGTCTCAAGTTCTTTCCTTAATGCCGTCCTCCAGCCAGGTGTTCTCCAAGGCTCACTTACTCTCTGCCAGTCCACAGAAGCTGCCTGAGGAGACAGTGCTTCCTGGTTCTGCAGACACCCCTCCCTGAGATCTCAAGCCCCATTTCGGCCAGCCCGCTTGCTTTCCGGAGTCCCGCCCAGCCTTACTTGCAGAGGACAGCATCGGCGTCAGACAGAGCCTCGTACAAACACAAGTCGCCTTCCTCCATGTCTCTGGTGACCACCAGCGTGAGACTCAGAAACAGGGCTGCCGCGGCCAGCCTCATTGTCCAGTGCATGGACACCTGGAACAGAAGGAGCTTTTAGAGCTGCGGGGCCCTCTGCAGGGGGCATCCTTCTCAGCCTGCGTGCATGTCCCCGCCCCAGGGGCCCACAGGGAGGACCAGAGACCTCTGGTAAGCAGCAGAAGGGCGGGAAGCTGCCTGGGCTTCAGCGGCCAATCTGCCACCCGGACACAGATACCTTGGAAGGACCTGGGCCTACTCCAAGCCGGTCTCAGTTTGCAGTCCTGGCTGAGACCCCTCCTCCGTTGGAGCAGGGCTTTGTGGGCCACTAATCCCAGTGGCGTTTGGGCAGAAGAGCTTATATAAGCCTCTCGCCCCAGCTCCTCGTCCTGTCCCCGCCACTTGCCCCGTGTGCAATCTGCTGGCCATAGGCCAGCCAGCCTGCTCCTCTGGCTTTAAGGCAAACCCTGGGAAGCTGGTGACCCCAGGCTTTGGGCTGAGGGGCGGGGGCGCGGGTTCTGGGGTGCTTGCGAGAGCAAGACCTTGGTCGTTGTTCTAGGAGGAGGGGTCTGGCTGGGCTGTGCCCCTTGGACAGCTCTGTGTCCCCTGCCCACAGCTCCTGTGCCACCTGCCTTGACAGCCTTGGGGCTGACGGATGGTAGGTGGTTGGACGCAGTGACCCTGTGTAGGAGGGTCCCCTGCACTTAGGGCCGCCCTGGCCCCGAGGCCAGCTCCAAAGGGCCAGCTAAGGACAGAAGCGCTCCTCAGACTGCACCTTGCCGCAGTGCTGAACTCAGCACTCTCCCAAAATAATAGTCTCTGGAGAAGAAACCAGCAGGGCTGCTGGGGAGGGGGGCAGCTTGCCGTGCGGTTTGCCGGTGCTGTCTGGGAGGAAGGGGGGTAGCAGCCTGCAGGAAGTTGCGTGTGTGGGACTCCGACTGGAACAGGAGAGGGCAGGGGAAGATCAAAGGCGGTTCTCCCACTGTCTTTCCAGTTGATCTACTCCCTGTCTTCTCTGAGATGGGGTGTGGGGGTGTACTGGGGGGACGTTCTCCCAGCCAGGAACTGAGGATGCCTGGGTTCTGCTCTGAGCCCCGCCAGGCTGCTGGGGTGGGGGTGGGGGTCTGCCTCACTAGGATGCACCACTTCTCCCTCTCAAAAACAAGTAAAATGCCCCCGTCACTCCTGCGCCTTGCTAAGGAAGATGAGATCATAGCCATAAAGTATATGCAGCTCGAGCTTTAGAGAAACTATTTCAAGCGTTGCTTGCTTTCCAGCTGAATTCCTGCTTCCAGGATCCCGACTTCTAGCCAAAAGCCCTTCTTTGGGGCGACAACTTAAACACACTTCTCAATAATTAGAGTCCCCGATGTATGACTAGGGCTCCTCCACAGAGGACTCATTCCCAAGATCGTTCCCCTACTGGAAGTGTCTCCTGGGAGCCCCCTCACAAGATGGCTGTGAGAATGGAATCGAACAAACTATGGATGTAAGGGCCTTGGGACAGGAGTGGCCCTCACCTAGGGAATGCTCGTCATTGATGCAGAGTGTAAGTACTCTTCCACAGCCCCATCCATTTGTTCATTCATTCATTCATTCATTCGAAATCCATCTCCCCAGCAGGTACTGAGCCCCTCCCATGTGCCAGGCCCTGATGAGATACAGGGTCAGCATGGTCCCTGTTCTCTCCGAGCTCGCTGGAGAGCCAGAGCCACAAGGACGGTGCGAGACTCTTGCCTTCAAAGTGGCAGCCACTAGAGAAGGCAGAACTCTCCTGAATGCCAACAGCTCTTAGCACCAAAAAATGGCTGTCTGGAGGTAGGGGAGAGTCCCTGGGAGAGGGTTGCTCCTGCTGAGCTTCCCCGTGTCCGCAGTTCTTCCTTATTCAGTATGAGCCAAGCTTTTATCATCGAATCCTCTTGATATGATCCTCTGAAGTAAGTACTGTTATTATCCCATTTTACAGAGGAGGGGACTGAGGTATGGAGAGGTTTGCTGACTTGGATCTTGGTCACATGGGTTGTAAGTGGCCGACCTGGGATTTGAACCCATGCCACTTGCCTCCAGACTCCCTGCTCCTTAACCACTCTCCTCTACTGCTCCCTCTTGGAGCTTTGCCGTCCCCTGTCTTTCCCCCTCTATTGTCCCCCTCCATTCCCTTTGTTCTTGGAATGAAGCCCCAAATCTCCCACTTAGCCCAGAAGGCCTGCATGATCTGGCTCTTCCCGCTTCTCTCCGCTGCTGCGGCTGCTCAAGGTTTAACTCCAGCTCAGGCCTCAGGCTCCTTCCTGCCCCAGGGCCTTCCTATGCACTGCCCTCACTTCCCACCCCATTTTGGTGGATAGCTGAAATGTCATTTCTTCAGAGAAATGCCCTGACCCCCAGGTTCCATTCGATTCTTGCGATACAGAATCGTAGCTCCTTATTCCTTTCCTGGTTCTTACGGGCTTGTAATGGATTATCTTGTAATTACTTGTTTAGAGATTAATTTATAGTTCCCCGCCCCCATTCCACAAACTTCTTGGGAGGCTGTACCAAGTCTGCGTCCAGCATTCCAAGCACAGTCCCTGGCATTTCTAGATGCTTAATAAATTACCGCATGAATGCCTGACAAACTGGCCACCTCTTTCTGATAGTTCAAATTTCACATAACAGCACCTAACTCAATAAACATCAGCAGGAAGTAACCACTCAGGTTGGCCCCTGGCCCTGGATCCCTTTTGCTTATTTAGCTAACCTTCTCTGGCTTGTTTTCGTACAGAGAGCTCTGACAGAGTGCAGTGGTTCTTGGCATTTTCGAATCTGGTCTTTCTCTTGGGGATTCACAGGACTTCACTTCATATGTGGAGTCCAAGATCTGGGAACCACATTCAAGCCTAGGAAGGCACAGTGTCCCCTTCCCATTGCCAGCCTGCTTCGCTCAACTGCCTTATTTCTGGAAATGCCCATCTCTGGATCCCAAGGTAGCCACACTGGGAGCCCCCTTCTTTTCCTCCAGTGATCTGGGCTGTGACCACATCCCAGTACTATGAGGCAGGCTGAGCCTGTTGGCTTCCTGAGATGCCTCGGTCCCTCCAAACCCCGGGATCTGCTGGGCCAGGGCTCCTGGAACACTTGACACCCCCTCCTATCCCTCCAGGCCTCCTATTCCTCCAGGCCCCCCATCGCTGCCCAGATGTCACCTTCATTTTCTATCCAGACAGACGCTCATGCTTTCCCTCTCTCCTAAACCTTTTTACCTATGCCCTCTGTAATCTCTGAATCTACAGTGAGGGGGAGTGTATTCCCCCTCACTCCTTTCCTTCACTCTACATTTAAAAATTGAGATTTATATACCAGAAAATGCACCTTTTAACATGTACAATGCAGTGTTTTTTAGCATAGAAATCACTACAGGTTGTGCAACCCTCACAAAGTTATGCAACCATCATCACTACCGAACTCCAGAACATTTTCATCACCCTCAAAAGAAGCCCCAAAGCACAACTCATGAGCAGTTACTCCCCATTCCTTGGGAGCCACTAATCTACTCTCTACTCTTATAGATTTGCTTATTCTGGATGTTTCATATAAATGGAATCATACTACAGTTGACCCTTGAACAACATGGGGGTTAGGGATGCGAATCCCCTGTGCAGTTGAAAATCTGTGTATAACTTTGACTCCTGCCAGATTTAACTGCTAATAGCTTACTACTGACTGGAAGCCTTACTGATAACATAAACAGTCAATTAACACATATTTTGTGTGTTATATTCTGTTTTCTTATAATAAAGTAAGCTAGAGAAAAGAAAACATCATTAAGAAAATCGTAAGAAAGAGAAAATACACTTAATACAGTCCTGGACTGTCGAAAAATCACCTATAGGTAGACCCATGCCGTTCAAACCCATGTTGATCAAGGATCAACTGTGTATGTGTTCTCCTGCCATCAGCTTCTTTCACTTAGCATGTTTTCAAGGTAATCCATGTTGTGTCAGTACTTCATTCCTTTTTATGGCTGAATAATATTCCATTGTACGGACACACCACATTTTATTTAGCCACTCATCAGTTGATGGACATTTGGGTTGTTTCTACTTTGGCACTATTATGAACAATGCTGTTATAAACATTTGTATACATTTTTGTGAAAATATGCCATCACTTTTCTTGGGTTCGTATGACAATTCCATGTTTAACATTTTGAGGAACTGCCCCAGTCTTTTTATTTTCTTGATGGTGTACTTTGATGCACAAAAAGTTGTAATTTCAATGGACTTGACTGAATTTCAATCAAGTCCAATTTATCTATTTCTTCTTTTGCTGTCTATGCTTTTGGTGTCATATTCAAGAAATTAGTGCCAAATCCAATGTCATGAAGCTTTTCCTTTATGTTTTCTTCCAAGAGTTTTCCAAACTTAGCTCTTACATTTCCATCATTGATCCATTGTGAGTTAATTTTTTTTTAATTTTTTATTCTTATGTTAATCCCCATACATTACATCATCAGTTTTAGATGAAGTGTTCCATGATTCATTGTTTGTGCATAACACCCAGTGCTCCATGCAGAATGTGCCCTCCTCAAT